GAGGTAATGGAATAACACCCAGACATGTGTATTTCTGATAAATCTAAATTTTACAAAATGTGCTTTGCTTTGTGTTATACAGATAAAAATAGTCATTTCATGCCACCGTTCATGAGCAAGTATTTTCATAAATGATACTGTGAGTTCCCCTTATTTCTCACACAGGAAAATATGTGCATATGATAATTGTCATTTTCTATACCCATGATGTTATTCTTGAAATGTATTTTTGTTTGTAGACATGTGTGCACTTTCTTTGTCTTCTGAAGTAACTGGGATAAATGGGCACTTTCAAAGAGCACAGTAGGTGGGTGTGGGTCAGTCCTGCATATTATGTGAGGCAGGGTAACAAACTGGCCTCACCTTGCTAACTGTATGGCTGGCGGGATGCCAGATAATGCTTAGAACCCTATAATGGTTCTTGGACACTTTTTTCCTGCATATACTCTTAAACTTGCTTGTAAAACACAACTTTGTAATTTTATAGGATTTGTCTGCAAGGGGTTAATATAGTTAAATGGAAAATGAGGGTATTTATGTTCCTAAAAACTTCATTATATATTCATTATATCTATATTTAAAACAATATGCATAAAAATGTTAGGCTTGAATGAACTACATCATATATTCATCATATCTAGGTTTAAAAGAATATACATTGCATAAATTTGTTCAGCTAGAATGATCTACAGATACATAACAAAAATAAACACAAAATACACAAATTACTGCATAATAATTGGTCTATAAAGACAAAAAGAGTAAACACACAGTAAATAGCAATTGCAGTAAATATTGAAAGAAAAACAGCACAAGTATGCTATACTCAAAACAATATATTTACTGTAAAATGAGATTAATACACTTACTATCTAAGACTTACATTATGGGGAGGATATTATTAATCTAGGTACATGACTATGAGCTACTTCTAAGGGGTCTGATAAAGGCACCTTCAGTTTGTTTTCTAAGAAGCAAACCAGATTTTCTGAACATATTAATGTTTTTGAGCATTATTTCCTTACATAATAAGTGTGCTTACAATGTCTTCTAGCCCTTTTTCTATGTAAACACTGTCGATTTAGCATAATATGACATAGTCTGAAAAATGCAAAATATAATCCTATTCACTTCACTGTTCGTTGTCACCATCACCACCATCACCAATTATCATCAACAAAATGTATTAATACACAACCACCACCACAATTTTCTCTACTTGCTGTATCATATTTCCTGCTGTATATATTGCCGCAAAAGCATTCAGATGTCCTCGGGTGCTAGAGAATGAAGTAGCCCTTTTTTCTCTTTTCTTTCTCTTATCTTATTGATGTAGTATGCTTTACTCATAAGAAAAATATTAAAGGTAACACAAACAGTTTGATTCCATAATAAAGGCTTGATATATATGCCTAAAAAACACTAGAGTGCATTTTCAAGCACACAACTTTCCAAATACTTCACTTTTCAAGCCTCTATATATTATAGTTATATTTCAACAGCACTTTACAAGTCATACCAACAAAAATGCTGATGTGAGAACAAATGTGTCAAATCTCAACGTGTAGGTTACAAAGACAAAAACTTCATCCATAAATTTCATCCAAACCATAATATGAGGAGATGAGGGATGGAGAGAAAGAAAAAAAAGGAGAGAAAACAGAGGAAAGAGGAAAGCAGAAAAAAGAGCAAGACAAGCAACAAAAGCGAGAGAGAAAGAGAAAAAAATAGTGACATCCCTGCACCACTGTGGACGTTCTGAATAAAATAATATGAAATAATGATTCCTCACTGTGAGGTTCTACAGAAAGCATTCTGGACCACTGGACCATAAATTCTTCCTAAAAATGTTGAGCTTAAATGTGGGGTTCATGAACTTTATAAGTATAAACCAAAGGGCTGTGTAATATATATTTCAGTCAATGATGATATGATCTATAAAAAGTTATTTCTCATATAAAGCTGGCATAATTATTTCCAATAATTAACAGTTACATTAATCAAACTGAAGAAAATCAAAATTTGATTAACTTTAGCTTTCTAAACACATAAATGCACATAGAATAATGGATAAAAAACACTAGGAAGACAAGTAGGAACCAAAAAACAAAAACACAACAAAACAACAAAAAAAACATTTTCAATATTAGCCTTCCAGTTCTTAATGCTATTATTCATAAAGCTAGATATGATATTCTCTTGTAAAAGCATCAAACTCCAATGCTAAATCCCCTGAAATATATTGCTATTCAGTTCAATCTAAACTATTGGTGGTATCTTTCTTTACACAGTAATGAACAAAAACTTACACCTACAGAAAAAATAGTTCCACTTGACATGTCATACTCGGGGACAAAAAGCAGCAAAATCCTATTGCACATATAAATAAACCCTAACAAGTGGACTACATTCCAATAACATAATAAGGCAACAGTATGCAAAAATGTGAGCATGTCATTGAAAGCATGTGATGCCTTGCAATAGAGGCTGCTGCTAAGGTCCTATTTACAAGGGATATATATATATATATATGATCTCAAAAAACAAAATTATTGATAAGAACAAAGGGCTTTGTTTTCATCACAGACTTCCATCACAGACTGCTCATCTTATCAGAGAAGGTCCCTCAATATCACCATTTACAAGGCACAGCAGCACTGACAGTAATGCCATGACTATATCTAAGTTATTTAGGACTGAATAGCAACTGCGGGAGAAAGAAGGGAAAACTGAAAGACAAGGAGAGAAACTATTGAAGAGAAAGAAGGAAAGAAAAACTTGGAGAAAGGAGAGGAGAGAGGGGAGAAAGGGAAGGAGAGGAGGGAGAAAGGAAAGGAGGAAGAAGGAAAGAAGGGAGGGAGAGGGAGAGGGGGTGAGGGAGAGGGAAGGGGGTGAGAGAGAGAGAGAGAGTGGGGGTAGAAGAGGAGAGGGGAGAGAGAGGAGAGGGGGTGAGAGAGAGGGAGAGGGGAGAGAGAGAGGTCGTGAGAGAGAGGGAGAGGGGGTGAGAGAGAGGGAGATAGGGGGTGAGAGACTTGGTTGAGGCCTCTGAAGAGGGGTGAAGGCGGGTGCAAGAGAGGGAGATCTCATCACTCAAGGGGGTGAGAGAGAGGCGAGACCACTCCGGGGCGGAGAAGGTAGAGGGAGGCATGATCGGGCGGCGGTGGAGCTCCCCGAGCTGGCTTGCTCAGAAGATCATCTAGGGGGCGTGTCAGAGCTCCTCGAGAACGAGGGAGACGAGCCACTGAGAGCGCCAACGAGGACCCCGAGGGAATTGGGTCGGGGAGAGAGAGGAAGTATCGAGAGAGAGGCGAGAGTAACGAAGAGAGAGTAGACGAGAGTACTCGAGAGAGAGAGATACAGCATCACGCAGAGAGACGAGCACTCGAGAGCAGAGAGATGACGGAGGAGCAGAGCGAGATTGGGGTGCGTCTCTATCAGGTCTCGATGGGCTCCGGTCACAACGGTCACTCACAAGGCATGGGGAACAGGGCTCACTCCAGCCGCGGTCTATCGATCTCGGCGGGGAGTTAAGGGACGATCAGGGAAATTCAGGAGAAAAGGAGAAGGGAAGGGACAGGTAAGAGGGAAGGAGAAGGGAATGCGGAAGGGAATAGGGACGGAAGAGGGATAGGAAAGGAATCGGAAGGGTAAGGAGGGGGAGGGAAGGGAAGGGAAGGAAGGGGCATACGGGAAGGGAAGGGAGGGAAGGGAAGGGAAGGGAAGGGAAGGTCGAAGGAAAGGGAAGGGAAGGCGAAGGGAAGCATCGGCTCATTCGCGAGAAAGGGATGCGGAAGGGATGGACGGCGATGGGAAGGAGTGCCCCGCAAGGGATGGAAGGGGATTCGGATCAGCGAGATTCGGGAAAGGAAGGGAGGTCTCGGCACCCGCCGGAGGGGAAGTGCGAAGTAAGGAAAGAGGCTCATCTCACGAGCAGACGTCTAGTATGAGAAAAGGAAACAAAATAAATACTAAGATGGAGAGGAGGTGAAACAGAAGAGAAAACAAGTGAAGAGGAGATAAGCAGAAGAATAGGAGAGGGAAAGTAGAGAAGAAAGTAACGTAAATAACGGTAAGAGAGTAACGAATAGGAGACGGGAAGTAGAACGAAGGAGAAGTATACGTAAATAGGAGAGGCAATAAGAGCAACCAAGAACCGAGAAGGGAAGTCAAGGTAGAAAGTACACATCCCCAGAGCAGAGGAGGAGAAAAGGAAGAAAGAATCGGACGCACAAAACACAAACCGCATCATTGTGATGCAAGATCTCAGAAGATACACTCGTAGATGCTAAGCCTTTCTCTTCTATTCTCTCTCAGAAGGACCGATCAAGTCTTCTTCTCTTCTATTCTCTCAACCTCTCATTTCCTTCTCTTCTTTCCCTCACGATGAGAGGAAGTAAGGAGAGATCAAAGGGGACAAACTGCGAAGAAGCGCCAGGGCACACCAGAAGAAAACAAAAAAGAGAATGAGAGTTCATTTCCTTCTTCTTCTATTAAGCTGATAAAAGAGAGGGAGACAGATGAGAAATGAGAAGAGAGAAAAGAGTAGAGGAGCAAAAAAAGAGAGAATACGTAGAGAGAAGAAAGAAGCAGAGAGAAGACAAAAAGAGAAAATCTATAGAAAGGTAAGAAAAAATCGAGACAGGAGGAGAGAAATTAAAGAAATGCAGAGAAAGAAGATGAAAAATGAGAAGAGAAGAGAATATGAAAGGACAGAAGACAAGAGGAGAGGCGAGGAGAGTAAAGGAGAAAAGGGGAGAGGAGAGAAGTAAAAAACAATAAAAGATATGCAGAGGGAAAAGAAAGGAGCAGATGAGAAAAGTGAAAAATAGAAGATATGCAGACTGAGAAAAAAGTAGATGGGAGAGGACAGGAAAAGAGAAGTAAAAATAGAACATATGCAGAGACAGAAGAAAGGAGTAGCAAGGAGAGGAGAATGGAGAACATGAGAGGAGAGGAGAGAAGAAAAAAGATGCAGAGAAAAAAGAGGAGAAGAACAAGAAAAGAGATAAGAGAAGGAGGAGAAGAGTGTGAGTGTGAATGAGTGTGCATGTGTGTCTGTATATACATGTGCATATGTGCAAGGGTATGTGCATGTTTATTTGTAAATTGTAAAAAATAATGAAAGTTTAAAAACCTCCCAAACTCTGCACAAACAAATATATCATCTCTTCATGGGAGAAATTTTAAATAAAAGTACAGATTAATTCTAATTGAGAAGCAGCGCAGCTTCTACCTCAACTTTTTCTTCACAGTCTCATTACTACAACTATTTCTTGGATTAAAGATATCACATTCATTTCCATGTACCCCAGCAGGAACAACAACTATCCACCACTAATGAAATAGTTCTTGAGGAATCCAGTGGCGAATCTGTAGCTTGTGTGACTCAAGACACACATCTGCCACAATGCACCTAATTGTTGCACCTTCTTTGTCTCTCACGACATCTTGTTGATTAGAATTTCCATCATGCTTTTGATGTCTGCCATGTCTCTTGTCTGCTGGTGCAGCTGCTCCTCCAGCACCTGTGTTTGTATCTGCACCTGCTGCTGTACCAGTTGAGCCACCTGTCCACACAAGAGGAAAGAAGGTGAATTTGAAGTCATTCAAAAAACTCTGATAGTAACTGAACACACAAACAGATATATAAACACATATATCCTCTACTGATAAATTATCATCTTCATTATTCATTTCTTTCTTATTATTAATATATTCAATTATACCATGCTATTTATACTTTTTATGCATTTATTTCCTCTTTAGCTTGCTAATCCCAACCTGTCATGTATCTTATATATTCAAGTATTTCACATAAACATAAGACAAAGACATCCAAGCATATATCTAATAAGACAACTAAAACTAACAAGATTTATGCTTCTGGAATTTGTGATGGATAAAAAACACAACCTAGGTCTACAAAAACAGAATAAGTCACATAGCCAATACAAAAGCAAAAATGGAAGTGTTGATTTTTATAGAAGAAATGTATTATCTGCAACATCAAGCATTATAAATGTGTCATGATGCTAATTCTATACCTGAGAAGCCAGTGAAGAGGTATCAGAAGAAACATCCCCACTGCCTAGGAAAGTAGCCATGTCAGTGCTACCTTCCAAACCTTCCTCTTGGTGTCTATCAAAGGATTTGGTCAAGCCCTGCGGTTTTCCCTGTGCTGAATTCCAGGGGCTGAATGGAGATCTTGTGTTCTTATAAGATGCTAACTGAGAATGGTCAGCAGAACCATCAGAGTTCAACTCCTCTAATCTTAGGCAAGAGTCTATACTATTATTGTTCAACTCAACACTGCCTACACTGCCTTGTATAACCTCTTGTGGTTCCTGGAACCACTCTCTTTTCCTCTCACTATCACTTTTTTGGTCTGGAATGTTGGTACACTGTTCAGAATAACCTGAAATAATTGCCTTCTCTTGTGACTGCTTTGAGCTTATTGTTTTCACTGTGGCATGGTCTGAAAAGACTAACTTTTCTATGGAATGGTTTGCACAAGATGAGTCATTTCTCACGTGGCTTGCAGTCCCTAGGTTACTGTTAGAGTTCAGAAAGCCCTGACCCCGTTCTGAGCTTTTCCATGCAGAAGAATCATGTACCATGTGATTTCCAAATGGCTCATGAAAAGAGTTTCCAAGTTTAGGGCTGGGGGCTGCATCATGGTGTATGAGGTCTGGGGAACTGGACGACAGGCACAGAGGATTTGGCTTCTCTGGGAGGTTATCATAAGAGGACTCTTGACTGAGATGCTGGGTGGAGTGGGATGCACCTTCCAGGGAGGTGTGAGATGATGCCACAGTGAGTGTCTCTAGGTCTCGGCACAATTCTGACTGTTGCTGAAGAAGCATGACCATCTGAAATATAGGAAAGCAGTTACCTAAGGAGAATATTATTTTTTTATAACAAAATTCTCAACTCCTCTTTCAAAATACTCAGACCCCTCAAAAAAAAAAGAAGAAGAAGAAGAAGAAGAAGAAGAAGAAGAAGAAAAAGAAGAAGAAGAAGAAGAAGAAGAAGAAGAAGAAGAAGAAGAAGAAGAAGAAGAAGAAGAAGAAGAAGAAGAAGAAGAGAAGAAGAAGAAGAAGAAGAAGAAGATATATATATATAATATATATATATATATATATATATATATATATATATATATATATATATATAAATAAATAAATAAAAAACAATAATAATATAAAATAATAATAATAATAATAATAATAATAATAATAATAATAATATAATAATAATAATAATAATATAATAATAATTAATAATGATAATATAATGATAATGATAATAATATAATATAATAATAATAATATAATAATATAATAATAATAATAATAATAATAATAATAATAATAATAATAATAATAATAATAATAATAATAATAATAATAATAATAATAATAATAATAATAACAATAATAATAATAATAATTAAACAAGATTCACACACTAATGCTCCCTTCAAGCCTTCTCTTCAACTGCAGACCAAGGCTGAGTCGGGTTGTGAAACCTCTAATATCATTTGTGGCTTCTATTTTTCCATTTTCCACGGCTCAGTGCTAGTAATATCCAATTATACTGAAATTCTGCATTAGTAAAGTTCTGGAATGTTTCCTACATTTCAACAGTACAATAACTTAAATCCTTACAAAAGCATAGTTAAACTAGTCTCGTAAAGATATTACTAAATCATTCCAGGAATCACCTACTCTTGCTTCAAGTGATTTTGTAAATGTATTTGTATTCAGAAAAGATCAAATGTTCTCCTCAAATATTTCCTGTTATCACTGAAAAAGCCATATAAATGGTGTTCTTACCTGTGTGATGACACTGTTGATACATGTAGGACTGAGAGATGTGTGCTGGGTACTGGCCATCAACTGCTCCATGTGTGTCACCTCTGCTCGAATGGCAGCCCTAATGGCACTGATG